ATGAATGTAGGTATTTAGAAATCACAGGCCCAAGATGGGACGGAGGCCTCCATCCTTTTTGGGAACTGTGAAGTAACGTGAATACTGTAAAACCGTTCAGAGTATCTTGGGGAGGCACTCTCTGGATAGCACGTTTTTGAAGAAGGAGTATAACCTTGTCCTCTAGAGCAGGCGAGTAAGTTGTGGGTCTGATATGATTGAGAGGAGGAAGCTCCTTGAATTCTAATAGGTAACCGTAACATTTGATGGCGAGCACACGTGTCCTTGGTGATGGTGGACCACTTGTCGAAAAAGGGAGCCAGCTGGGGATGATAAGGACAGTCTAGGAGAGAAGAGTCAATGCTTGTTTTTTCTTGCAGGGTGATGGAAACCTTGTCTGAGCTGAGCAGGGGCCTGGGAACAGAAGGGAGGAGCTGCGGAAGACTGAGGAGGGTTGGATCTTTCAGGAGCCAGAGCTGGAGGTTTGTAGGGCCAATACGGTTGCTGGTATTGTTGAAAGGTAAAGGCCCTATGCCATTGGTTACACTGTTGGTATCTGGGCTGTTGGGTAGAGTAGGAATGGGCAGTCTTGCGCATCTTCTGCAAATTGTCCATCACCTTATCTGTCTTCTCATTAAAAAGACCAACGCCATCGAAGGGAAGATCCTCAATGTGAGATCTAGCATCATCATTGATCCCTGCCGAGCGCAACCAATCGTGCCTTTTGAGGGCAATAGCTGAAGCCAAAGCCTTCGAGGCAGCATCAGCCGTGTGGCGAGATGCAAGACGCTGCTGTTTAGCTAGTGTGGTGGCCTCAAGATGAGTGTTGAGAGCAGAGGTTCTGGTTTCCTCAGGAGCAGCCAGAAGGACCGAGAGGATCTTACTCCACAGTTGTCTCTGATAAGCTCCCATCGCAGCTTGGTAATTTGAGACTCTCATAAGAAAGGAGGCCAGAGAATATAGGTAACGGCTGAAGAAATCCAACTTTCCATCTTCCCTATTGGTAGGACTGACTGAAGATCGATTGCCAGCAAGGGACTGATTTGACTGCACTATAATCGAGTTTTGAGCAGAATGTTTAACGAGAAAAGCTGTGTCGGATCCATGTGTTCTATAGGGGTTCTCAATGCGTCGAGAGATTTGGGTAGACCTAGACGGCTTGTCCCATGACTCTTTGATAAGGTCCAACATGGCTGGTATGAATGCCAGACTCAAAAGAGGGGATATCTCTCAATTTATGTCATTGAAGACAAGGTCCTGTTTGGGAGGGGGAGGCTGTTCAATGTCGAGTTTCAAAGATTTGGCCATATGGAGAATGAGCTGGGAGTAAGATGCAAAGTCTTCAGATGGAGGTGGTGGGTCGATATCTGCAACATCTAAGTCAGGTGTTGGTAAATTCAACGGGGACTCCCTAGGAACTTCTGAAGGGAGATCCCGATCCTGCTCAGAAGCCATTGAGATCGAAGAGTCCCTAGAGAGAAGAGGCGAAGGGGAACAATGATGAGCCCGAGGTGAGTGAGCTGAGGTTAAAACCTGTGGGATCAACGCTGAAGCATGAAGTGAGTGGGACCTAGGGACAACAGAACCCGGCTGTGAGGTCAAGGCCGCTGGCAGGGAGGATAAACGTGCACGTTTCGTTGGTACCCAGTCCAGTTGGGGGATCTCAGATGGGGATAATCCGTGTTTGGAAGCAGATTTTCTTGGTGCTGATATTGCAGGGTTGTGCTGGTAGTACGCTCAATATCAACATAAAGTGGGAGGTGGTGAAGGAGATTGAGAATTTGTGGGAGAGGCATACATATAATGTACACGCCTAGGCCACCCATAAGAATCCTCAACATAGTGGCGATCAGATTCATTCAGCCTGTATCCAAGGAGTCCTGTGCAGGCGCAGTAAAACCCATTTGTGTGCATTCACAGAGGCCACGAAGAAGAAATATGAGATTTTCAAAAACGGAATTTAACTTCTAGATGGTTCCAGTTTTTTTTCTTCTTCTTTTGTTTCCCTGTTGCATCTTTGGCAGTCTCTGAAATTCTCAGATTCACTGTCCGAAGATTCACCAAAGTTGATTGAAATTCCTGATTCAAACCTTCATGTTTTAAATTATTATTTCTACCCTATTATGAAGCTGTTTGTGCTATCTCAAACTTCTATTACCATGGGCAATTTTTTTCTCATAAATTAATTGAACCCCATTTGAAATAATTTTGTTCAACAGGGGCAGCACTTGGTTTCCAAAAGTTAAATGTGCAAGAATCTAAGGCATTGCCAGCTTAGAACAGCTAATGTAAATATACATTTTTAAAAAGCTTCAAGGAAGCTACTGCTGGCTGATATTAACTCTACTGCTTCAGCTATGGCTACAATGTCTTATCTCAAATATAGAAAAGATTTCAAATGGCCTCTCCTAATTATATACAGTGGTGCCTCACACAACGATGTTAATTGGTTCCAAAAAAATCAACGTTGTGTGAAACATCGTTCTGTGAAACACCATTTCTCATAGGAATGCATTGAGAACCGGTTAATCCGTTCCAATTGGAACGGATTGCCATCGCTGAGTGAAAATCCCCATAGGAAACATCGCTGTATGAAACAATGTTTCCTTCATTGGAATGTATTGAAGCCGACTCAATACATTTCAATGGCTTTGCGAAGTCCTTTTTCGCTCCTGTAAAAGTGCCTTGCAATGTTTGGAAGCTGTTTTAAATGATTGAAATGGTTAGTCCACCTCCTGAAACCTATGCAAATTGATTTTGGTGTTGTTCTGACACTTCGTTAATTTATGATGATTTTTTGTTTTTTCCATTGGAAACCATTGGATGGTCTGTCTAATGGTTTCCAATGGAAAAAACAAAAAATCATCATAAATTAACGAAGTGTCAGAACAACACCAAAATCAGTTTGCATAGGTTTCAGGAGGTGGACTAACCATTGCAATCATTTAAAACAGCTTCCAAACATTTTAAGACACTTTTACAGGAGCGAAAAGGGAGATCGTTATGTGAAAATCCCCCATAGGAAACATCGCTGTGTGAGGCAGCAAATTTAACAGAAAAAGGCATCGTTGTGTGAGGCACTCGTTGTGCGAGGCACCACTGTAATTTCATTTTCTAGTATGTTTTCACTTCTTTGGTATCTTATAAACATTCACTTTCTAAAAGTCATAAAATAATATTGAAGGCTTAAATGGCTGTTTTGCAAAGACTCAGTTTTAACAAAGTAATTAGCATTTTTACGTTATGGTAAATAATCATATACACCAACAGCTATCTGACACCAGGGCTGCTATTCTTTTCCATTCTGTATAAATCACATGCCATTCTGATGCTAAGAGTTACACAAACCAGGAAGGTTTGTTACACATATTCTAAAGCTGAAAAGAGAGTCCACCTTAACAATTGAATCCCTTTAGTTATTGGAACAGTGCAGAGGAAAACAGTGTCAAATATTTAAACAAGTCAACTAACAATGGGCACTTCCATACAAAGTTTTTATTGCAAAATCACTGTCTCATGAAAACAATTTACAGGGGATATACGTAGTGCTCTCATGTCTTCTCACTGCTTCTTCCTCCCCACCCCCACCAACAATCTACTACAGAGTGAAAGATGGAATAGCTGCACAATATCTTCTGACTACAAGTGATAGAAAACACCTAAATTGATGACCAGTAAGTTCATACTAAATTTTAGCAATCACAACTATTTCTGTTTTATTTCATAGTACTAAACATCAGCACGAGTGTTCTGTGTGTTCAGCCAGGGGCAGGGAGCACTTAATGTCCACCAGCTTTTTCCAAAAATGCTGTCACGGGAATGACATTATTTAGATATAATAATGAAGCAAGAACCAACCCTTATTGCTTCTCTATTTATTTTTCTTCCTATTCTGCATCCTCCCCAGCCTTGCAATGTGTCAGAACTTGAAGATGATAATTTCTTCATTGCTTTTAGGGAACTGTCAGAAGGCTACTTACATATTGCCAAATCACACTGTTTTAGAAAACAGGTAGAGCCATTCTTGCTCAAAAGTAAACTAAAATCTGCTTTCAATCCCTCATGAGCTATTCTGTAACTGTGCATGCTATGTTTAATTCACAGCTGATGCTGGGATCAGAACCCAAGGATCCTTACCTTTATCTGTCAAGAATTATTTGAAGTAATCTGGGTTACAGGTCCTCCAGAATCTCATTTAATAATATCCACGGTTCACTATTAATAGTATGTACCCAATAGCTAACTGTTGTTTGAGGGATGAGAGATCAACAACTTCCTCAGCCTTTAGCCTCTTTCTGACAAGATTGCAGGCTCAATCAGTGCTTCCAGTGTTGCTGTCTTTCTGATACAGTCCTCTAAAACCTGGGATAAGAACTTTAAATATATTTTTCTAAGGCTGACAGTTTTGGGGAAAGTTGCATCCTGGCAGGTATGGTCCTACCATTAGGCAAACAGAGATTACTGCTTCATGCAAAGGATTTTAGAGTGCAGGACTGATAACAACGTGTAAAGAGAATTCAGCTGTAGGTGTACTACATTACATAGCTCACCCTGCACCCCAGCCCTCGCCTATTCTGCTCAGCTGCACCAAAGGCAACCAGTACTGTAAATCAAATGCTAGTCTGGTTGGCTTCTGCTTACAGGAGGTAGGTAAATAAATTTTTCATTTTGCTCAGAAAGCAAAAGCTCTTGAGCTGCCTCTGTATCTTAGCATATTCTACTGATGTCCCAGAGAAGTTTGTGCAAATGGATCCTGGGTCGCAGCCATCCAAGGGGGGGGGGGAGGGGAGAGAGACTAAGCACCATTTTCCTAAAATGCCACAAATTGTTAAGGATCTTTTTCATATTCTCAATTTCTTTGACCATTTCTGAATTTGTTGTTGAAAGCAGTAATTACTCAATGCCTTCTTTCCAAAGAGTTGCATGGCATTCATGAACACAGATTCTTGGGGTGTTAAAAGGACTCCCTTCTCCCGTATAGCCTAAACTACTTCCCTTAGAGAACTAGAGAAACATCTCACCTTTCTCTCTGCTTTCATCTTGTTCTCCTTGTAGTATTTTCTCCAGTCCCTCCTCCCATGGAGCTGGCTCTCCATTTGGCACAGTTTTATTCTGTTGCTGTGACAACTTTTGCCTGACAGAGTTGATTTCCCGTCTCAAGAGGCGGATGCGGCGAGTTCGGGCTCCGCTGGACCGCATGGTGCTCACCATGTCCAGCTTTTCCAGTAATTCCTTCAGCTGTACTTCCAATGAAAGATGAGCCCGATTCTCGGGGAGGAGAAGGTTATCAACTGCAATGAACAAAACAGTAGTGTGAACAACCAATCACTGACGCCTCATGCCTATTAGAAGAGACATGCCTGGAATATCTTAGTACAGTGGTGCCTCGAATTACGACCATAATCCGTTCCAGAAGATGGACGTAACTCGAAATGGTTGTAAGTCAAAGCATCATTTCCCATAGGAATACACTAAAAACCCATTAATCTGTTCCGGCCAAAAAAAATAATAATCACACAAACACACACACAAAACCACTCCAAGCCCCATTGGAAGACGATGGGGCTGGGAGAAAAAAACCAAACACACACACACACACCACAGTCAGCTCCATCGGAACGCGATGCGGCTGGGGAAAAAAATCAAACACACACACACACACACCACAGCCAGCTCCATCGGAACGCAATGGGGGTGGGAAAACACACACCAAAACACACCAAAAAAATCACAGCACAGAAACAGAACCCCCCCCCCAAAAAAAACCCAAACCCACCCTGCAAAACCCTGTAAATGTACTCACCCAGAAGCCAAAAGCAGCACCAGGCAGTCCGAAGCCTCTCTGCACACTAACCATTGGGGCGAACGAGCTACGAAGAAGCTCTTCGCCGACCAACGGTTAGCCCTCTAATTTGAATTCCCTGCCTTTTTCCCCTGCCCCTTTTGTTTGCAACTCAAAGCTCCGGCCGCAAGTCAAAGCAAAATTTTGCGGCTGGAGCTGATCACAACTTGAAATAGTCGTATGTTGGGACGTTCGTAAGGCGAGGCACTACTGTAATTGAAACTATCAGTGCCACATCTGTATTCAGTTTTTACCAAAACTACTTTAGAATTATATAGCATAAGCAAAATTAAAAAGATGTGAGGGTGAGATGTCAAGAGTATCTAGAAAATACATCAGAATCAATGTAAAACCCGGACCTTGATTAGGAATAGTAAATTAATTGAACTACTGCCTCCAAAGCAGAATTGTTTTCCAAAATAAGTTACTGAATTACTGTCCACCACTTAAACAAATTGAATTAATTCAAGTTTATTACTAAATTAGATAATCAACAGGCACTCACCATCCTCCCAAGAAAAACGATAAAAATCTTCTGTCTTTGGTGATTCTGGCAAGTGAATCCCCACTTGGGGGTCAAAGCCAATTGTTTCAGCTTGCCGCCGTGCATGGCGTAATATTGCCCCTCCAAGGTCTCTGAGTCGGACAGCTGCTCGATGGAAAACTGTGTCTTTAGAATTATACCTCATGCAGTTGGTGAGAATAAGGTTAAAGTCCTCCTCAAATTCATCCAGTGTTTGGTACTGATGGGACTCCAGCTTCTGCCTCATGGTAGAAAAATCCATTGGCTTGGAAATGAATTCCAGGTAATCTGGAACCTAAACATATAAAACCTGTACAATTACAAAAATCATTTACTAGCCAACCAGGGCATACTCATCACAAACACTCTAAATGCCCTCTTGTTGACACTGGGATAAAGCACAAATTCATAGCAGTATAACCCAGCTATGGCTACTGCAGCTATGGCAAAAGAAACTACCTTGTTAAGAAGTAATTATCAACTTCTGCAAAACAGTGGACTAGTTAAGATGATTGGGAATCTCTCTATTTAAAAACCTTGGAGAAATACCTTGGTTTATGCAACAACATGAGCAGTTCAGCAATATCTTCTACTTGCTATAGTACAATAGCTAAATTCCTGTTGCATAGGTGCACCAGATCTAAATAGTAATGATGTCATGACTCAGTGATATTAATCTTTATTTTAATGTAATTAAAAATTTCCTATCCTGCTCTTCATTTTCCAAGGCTCCCTACAGATCCCTTTTGCCTGGGGAAACATTTGGAAGCCCAAGAGGCAGTGAGGGCTTTAATATCAGAAAATTACTGCCAGATTGCCACTAGAGGACTTGACTGGTGATGGTTTTTACAGTGGTGATTTTCCCATTCCCTGTACTAAGCCTCCCAAAGGCTTCCTCAAGGCAAAATGGATCCCTACTCAGAACCTGAAGGAGGGATAGGAATTCTTAAATTAAAATAAAAGGTTAATATCACCATGTGAATGGTATGGTTGCACCAACTGGATTTCAGTCAATTTATACATTCCTCTGAACATGCGTTCTTATCAAAGCTTAACTATAGCTCTAGGAACTTGCCTCATTTAAGTTGACAGGATCTGCAAATATTTGAGCTGGATCCTTTTCCTGCAGTAGATCAAGTGTTGTGCGCAGCAGAACATTGAATGGAGTGAGCTGTAGCTCCATAGCAGCTTGCTGAACCTTTACCTGAAAATCAGGAAACCAATTGTCAAATAGAGATATCAAAGACAGAAAAAACAATATGTCCCTTTATCATATATAATAAAATTAACCAGTCTGTTCATCAGTCTCAATGTGACAACTATATGTACATTAATTCCAGAAGAAACTTTGATAAGTGCTTCTTCCATAATACAGTGGTACCTCGACTTACGAACTTAATCCATTTTGGAACAACGTTCGTACGTCGAAAAGTTCGTAAGTCGAAGTACCATTTCCCATTGAAATGCATGGGAATGGAATTAATGTGTTCCAGCATTTCAAAAGGCAAAAAGGCAGGGGAAAGGGGCTATAAACTCCAATTTCCCGCCATTTCTTCCTGGCTTTTTGGCTTCGGAGGTCTCAAACAGCTTCCTCCAATGACGGGGGGAAACCCCTTTGAGCTCTCCGGAGGTGCCAATTGTGGCAGCGGGAACCCCCAGGGAGGTCTCCCAGGACTTGCCCGCCACCATGGGAGACCTCCCTGGGGGTCCCTGCCACCGCGATCGGCGCCTTTGGAGCTCTCAAAGGGCTTCCTCCGATGTTGGGCAGAAAGCTCTTTGAGGGCTCCGAAGGCAAAAAGAAAGAGAGAAAGGGCAGGAAATTCAAATTTCCTGCCCTTTCTTCCTGCCTTTTTGGATTCGGAGCTCTCGAAGGGCTTCCTCCGATGTAGGGGGGAAAGCCCTTTGAGAGCTCGAAAGTGCCGATCGCGGCGGCATCAAGAGGCTGCTGCATGTTGTGCCATCTGCTTTCTGGAGGCATAACTAGGCAAGAAAATTTGGGGCAATTATCGATAAAGCATTGTCATACCAAATTGGCATACAATGGGACTGCAACAGTCATATGCCTTTTAAGACTTTTTCGAAAATTCAGCTGCAACAAAAATCAGTTTTTAGATGTGAAGTGGACCAGTAGCAGAGGATAAATCTTGCAAGTACTTTTATATACAACTGTTGATTGTACAACTCAAAACAGTATTTATTAGCTACCAAAGCATATCTTGGGACCTTGTTAGTTGAAGGACAGCCTTGTTTCATACAAATATATGCAAAATATTTGTTTTTCATCCGAGAGCCTTTCCATCTGATATTTGTAGAGTTTTTCGTTAATGCTGCCCTGTTTGTAAAAAGCACTTATCAAAGGATCTTGCTTTGCACTAGACTTGCTGTTCTTTTAGCAGCAGGGAGACATTTTTATTTGCCCACACATTTCAACAGGTTTTACACTTCTGTATGCTTTAGAAATAATGTTAATGTTGTAGAGGAGCTCTGTTGTGTTTCATGGTTTATGCTTTTATCTTTAGTTCTGCTTTTATTGTTATTTTATTATCATATATCATTCTGAGCCAATTGTGAAGTGAGTCAGATATCACATTTTATTGGACTCTGTGTGTGTGTGTGTGTGTGTGTGTGTATGTGTGTGTGTGTGCGCGCGCCCGTGTACACACACACACATGTGTACATGGTACAATTTGTCCAGCGAATGGTGGCACCTGATCAATCTCAGAACCTGATTTTGACTGCAATCTTGCCCACACTTACTTGGAACTAAACCCAAGTAAACAGAGCAGGGCTTGAGGCCAAACAAATATCCTTAGGAATTCAATGGCTTTTAGAATAACATGGCAATAATTCACAACTTCTAGCATATCTTTACCAAGTCACAATCAATGTCATTAAATTGTACATCTTTATTAGCAGTGGAAACAGCTAATAAATACATTTGCACTGTACCTTGTAACAAATGGAAATATGTTTGTTTCTGTGTACACACAGAGAGAGAGAGAGTTCTCCCTATGTAAGGAGTCTGATGTCTAGGCTCAAGGAACACTGCTAAAAGGCCTCTGAATCATGATACTACTCACCTGTTCACGTTTGAGTTTCTCACGTTTACGGATTAATTCAATGAGGAGCCGTGCTCTTTCTAAGTCATGCCGCAGTTTCTGCCAGTATTTCAGTTCTTCTTTGACAGCACTGGTCTTTTCATCTTGCTCTTTCTGTGAAGTAGACACATTTTTTCCTACTCTCATTTCAGACTTCTACTGATTGAACTTTCCTGGTCTACAGAAATTCATGAGTAGACACTCTTAGAATGTGCTTTGTAAGCATTATAATTCAGTCCAGTTAAATAGGCACGGTATTGATTAGTACTGTACTAATAAATAATTCATACCCAGGGTTATAACATTTTAGAAGTATCTTAGCTATGCTTACTGACATTTCTATAACTTTAAAGTGAGTTTTAGGACATAACTGTGCTAAAACTGAAAACAAGACTGAATGAAATATAGGATTCCTCTGTCCAGGAAACTTTCTACCTAAGGCAGAAGAGCCAAACAAATGTAATATCATAGAGCACAGCAAGTGTCAGGTAAACATTTTGACTGAAGACAATAATAAAGGTAGGTGTCACCCACTGTTGTTGCTATATGAAATTAACCAGTAGCAATAATAAAGCTAGGGTTCATGACCTGAAGGAAACAAGTAACTCAGAACCAAGGGGATGTTACCTCAAGCAATTAATCAGTGTATATGTCCTGTCACTTTAAAAACTAAGGAAAACTGGCGTTTAGTGGTGCTAATTGTTTCTAAAGTATATCCTAAACAGAAAAGAAACATAAAGTGGATAGAATCCATTGATTAATATCCACAGTGAAAATAACAATGGGTTGTTTTTCAATAGTAGTAAAGGCTGCCCTGTGGGATGAATTAGATGGCTGGATAGCTCAATGGTTTAGGTATCCTGCAAGAAGAGCTGCCTGTGTAGACATGAGCAAGCTACACAGACCCAAAGCACCACCCCCCCAAAAAAAAGGGAATGGTAAACCACTTATGTATATTTTCTACCTAAAAAACTATGGAAAGGGTCGCTATAACTCAGAATTGATTTGACATGACATAATTATTAGTATTATGGGGTGAACTAAGAGTTTTTTCATCTGAAAAGAGCAAGTCATTAAAGGTTTTGTATTGCAGAATACAAATCCATTTTTGTAAGCTGACTGGCTAGCTCAGTGGTTTAGGTATCTGGCTAAAGACAAGAGGTAGGGAGTTCGATTCCCCATTGTGCATGCCAGAAGAGCCAGCCTACGTGGCCTTGGGCAAGTTACGCAGTCCCAGGGTACCCTTGCCCAGCCTGGCTAATCAAAGCAGCCAGGCCTATAACATCTGAATGAGCTATGGCAATAGTTAATGGGTCTCTCCAGGAGGGCAAGGTTCCCCCTTGCCCTCAAGAAGACACTCATTAGGCCCATTAGAAAGAAACCGAGCTTGGCAGCAGACAATATTGGTAATTAAAGGCCCGTCGCTAATGTTTCTTTCCTCAGCTAGGTAGCTGAGAGGGTGGTGGCCGACCAGCCCCAGGGTCCCGATGAAACCAATGCCCTAGGTCCATTCCAGTCGGGCTTCAGGCCACAGCATGGAAATGCCACGGGTCTCCCTGTTTCATGACCTATTGAGAGAGGCCAACAGGGGCAAAATGTCTCTGCTGGCCCTCCTCGATATCTCAGCCGCCTTTGATACCGTCGACCACGGTATCCTCCTGGGGAGGCTCTCTGAGTTGAGAATTGGTGGCCTGGCTTTAGCCTGGCTCTGTTCCTTCTTGGAGGACCGTCCGCAGAAAGTGCAGATTGGAGAGAGCTTTTTGACCCCGTGGAGCATCAATTGTGGGGTTCCACAGGGCTCAATCATCTCTCCAATGCTCTTTAACATTTATATGAGGCTGCTGGGAGGGGTCATCAGGGGATGTGGGGCTTTGTGTCATCAGTACGCTGATGATATTCAGCTCTGCATCTCCTTTTTTCCAACAAGAGTGGATGCTGTTTCGTCCCTTGAGCGCTGCCTGGGGGCGTTCATCAATGGATGCAGGAAAATGTACTGAGGCTGAACCCGGGCATAACGGAGGTCCTTCAGGTGTGTGGCTGAGACATCAGTGGTTTGGGAAACTCCCTCTTTTGGGAGGGTGACTCTTACCACCAAGAGTGGGGTTCACAGTTTGGGTGTACATCTGGACCCGGCACTCACCATGGAAACTCAGGTGGCGTAAGTGGTCCATTCCGCAGACTTCCATCTTTGGCAGATTGTCCAGCTGCACCCCTATCTTGATGTGGGGGCACTCACCACTTTGGTCCATGCACTCATAGTCTCAAGATTAGACTACTGTAATGCACTCTATATGGGGCTGCCTTTGAGACTGACGCAGAAACTATAGATGGTGCAGAATACGGTGGCAAGACTTCTTACAGGGGTGAAAATATACCACCCTATTTCCTCCACTCTGGCCACCTTGCATTGGCTGCCCATTCGCTTCCGCGTTGATTTCAAAGTCCTACAATGACATATAAAGCCCTAAATGGTTTAGAAGCTCAATATCTGGCAGAGTGCCTTGTCCCACCCAGTTCTACCAGAGTCACTTGTTCCAGCCAAGCCGGGTGGCTGAGGGGCCTAACGCCGAGGGAGGTCCAGAAGGAAAGAATGAGGAACCAGGTCTTCTCGGCAGTGGCCCCTCACCTCTGGAACAACTTGCCCATGGAGATCCGCCTGGCTCCCACTCTGGGTGTCTTCAGGAGTAAACTTGAGACTTGGTTATTTGGGTAAGCTTTCCCTCCTGCTGTATCTTAATTTCTATATTTTCGCCATCTTGGATTTATTTATGTACATGTTTATTGGTCTAACTTTTTTTAAATTTGTAATGCTGCCCAGAGCAGAGCTTTGGTCTAGATGGGTGGGGTAGAAATTAAATAAATAAAATTATCTACCTGGAAAACACCAAAATGGATCACCATAAGTCATAATTGACTTGATGGTATATGCTTATTATTATTCTTATAAAATACATACAAGCTGCAAGTTGCAAAATCCATTATTACAATTAGAAGAATAATTACGCAGAAAACAACTCAATAAGAAGTGTTACAGAATTTCTCTCTCCTATTTGTTACATATGTGCAAAGTACATTATCTCTACTGATGTGACTATTTTGAGATGAATACTTTTCATCCAATCTTTCCAGATGTTTTCCTAACAATTGTTTCACATCATTTTTCCCCAAAATGAAATAACATCTTGAGATGTTGTTATACCTGTTCTGCATTTCTTTGGGACTGTAAGTGAGAGTGCAGCCGTCGTATTAGTGGGACACCATTTCTGGACTGACGCTTTAACAGCCAGTAGTTGTGAAGCCTCTGCATAAACTGATTTTTTCTCTGGAAAGAGAGTCCACTGCAGATTTTATTCAGCCTACAGAAAAGGAACAGCAGCAAGATGTTTCATTGCATATGAAGAAATTACAAAGTCTGAGGCACATAAAGGGAGTGTGTGACCGAAATGTATATAATTATGCATGGTACGGATAGAGTGGAAACAAGAGGTTTTTCTCCTACTCTTATCATACTAGAACCTGGAGTCATCCAGTGAAGCTGAAAGAAAGGAGATCAGCATGGGATAAAATAAAGTTCTTTTTCACAGTGTTTGCAAAGGTTGTGTTTGGGCTGATGATCCTAGACAGATTTAAAAATATATTTAAAAAAGTAATAGAAAATATGGCTACCAAATGTATTAATGGCTTCAGTGTAAGATGCACTATGCCTCTCAATATCAGTTCCTGGGGAACACAAGTAGGGGTGTGCTGTTGTGTTTATGGCCTCCCTATGAGTTTCTCAGAAGCCTCTGGTTGGCCATAGTGAGAAAAGAAGCTTATAATAATCAGGTCTTAGTGTGATTTACACAATAATTCTTACCTTCTTATGTTTCCATTGTTAAAATACAAATGTTAAACCCAGTTTCAGATTCTGAAAGTCCAGTTTGAGACATTGTAGCCTTCCCACTTCAACAATATGATGTAGTTTTGTAATGTCATGTAAGTACATATTAAGAGCTATACAAGTTCATCAAAGGCTTTCAACTATGAAATTGGTTCCATTAGAACCAGCTCTACAGCTCCTATTAAGCAATCACAACAGTGAAATGGGAAACACTGAGTTACTATCTAAGCTCAAATGCGCCAAATTACAAGGTTTAACACAAGCAGTTCAGTAGATCAATACATTTTATACAGTTATTTAATTGCATAGTTGAAAGGAACACTAGGCAACAAATACAAGTTTAGATTAAGGCTCTAATCCTGCACATAGCTAGAATGGCTAAATACCACAGAAATACATGCACTGAAAAAATTCGCTCGTAACGAAAAAGCTATTGTTGTTTTCCAATAAGTTCACCTGAAACTGATACGTAGCTGCACTTCTTTTAATTCTAGAGAATTATAAATGTAGAACAGTGGTTCTTAACCTTGGGTTACTCAGGTGTTTTTGGACTGCAACTCCCAGAAGCCTTCACCATCAGCTCTGCTGGCTGGGGTTTCTGGGAGTTGCAGTTCAAAAACACCTGAATAACCAAAGGTTAAGAACCACTGATGTAGAAGAGTCAGCTGCAATGTAAGAAGTTTTGAGAAATAGAATGCTGGAGCAGGATTCACTGAGACCTAGGTCCAAATCTTCACTCAGTCACAGAAACTTCCTCTGCAGGCAGTAATGGTAAACAACTCCTTTAATACCTCATGGATCTCAAAAACCCTTTAGGCTCCTCATAAGTAAGAAACAACTTGGTAGTGCATAGCACACCATACACAAAAGCCTTTTTAAAAAGAATATGTTCTTTGCCTTAGAGCAGCGATGGCGAACCTATGGCATGTGTGCCACAGCTGGCACGCAGAGCCCCTTCTGTGGGCACCCGAGCGATACTTCCCCCCCCAGAGCCAAACCTCAGGAAGCAGCTGCAGCCACAGTGCTGGCGCTTCAACAGGCAGCAGGCCAGGATCCAGAGCTGGCGGCAGATCCGAAGTGGGGTCTCGAGGCACCTCCATGCCCAGGATTCCCCCTTCCGCCACCACTTCCAGTTCCGCCACCAGCATTTCCGGTTCCGCCGCCACTGCCACCACGGCACCCGCTGGTTTGGGTTTTTTGCCCCCTAGTTTGGGCACTCGGGCTCAAAAAGGTTCACTGCCACTGCCTTAGAGCATGGAAAATACATAACTGCCACAAAGTATATTTCATATAAATATAACTTATATGTGCTGTCCTGGCAAACTAAAACAAATCATTTGTTGCAGAGGCCACACAGCAAAAAGAAGGCATTTCTTTAGACTCAAGGTTGAACAGAAATCCTAGACACTGATGTATCGGCACAGAAGCTGTAACTTGAAGAATCACACCACTTACCGGTAAGAAGGTATCTGTGTGACCATTAGTAGAGGTGTTGAAGTACAACTTTTCTTCTTCACCTTCTGTTTTAACTTTACTTTGTTCTTGTTTTGGGGAGTGCGATCATCAACTATCTCACTCTTTGCAATATTTCCTTCTCCTTCGTGGATAGCAGCTGAATGCCTTTTCTTCACTGTGCCAGGAGGGGAATGTACCTCACAGTAAGCAGTTTTACGCACGGTAAATGTTGTGCCATTGAGGCTGGTCTCCCTCATGGGCTCAATCTTCATAAAAAGACCAGCCCTCTGGGCACAGGTAACATGGAAAGCTGTGTAGCAGTTTACCTTGTGACATTGGATGGCTGCTCCCATGCCCTTCTGCTTGCAGATGTAGCATGTTAGCTTCCAGCGAGCTGGTGGGATATTTTCTATCCCTTCAATGGGTTCCAGAAAAACAGTGTTCGCAAAGCAGACTTCTGGGATCCATATGGCACAAACAACATGGGCCCAGTGACCATCACTGGTCTGTTTGAAGGCACCACCTTTGTTTGGGCACAAAACACAATCCACAGGGCGGGAAGGGGATTGTAGGCAACAGCGACAAAGCCATTGCCCCTCAGGGATATAGGGCACACCATAGCATTCTTGGTGCACAGCCAAGTTACAAATATCACAAAACAAAATGACATTGCTGTTATGACACTCATCATCCATGCAAACACAACAAACAGCATCTTCATCTATCAGGGTCTGCTGGGCGCCACTGTTACGGCTCTCCAAGTACGACTCCTTTTCCAACCGATCTAAAAGCAATTCAAAGGTCTCAGCAGAAATTGACCCATAACCATCATTCTTCCTCTTTTCATTGATCATGTCAAGCCAAGCTAAATCCTCTTCATCCATATCATATTCAATTTCAGCATCAACATCCTCAGGTGGTTTCTCAATATACTGATAGTATGTTGAAGGCAAGGGTGGAGCATCTGGCTGGCTGAATGAGTCAATCATGCGAAAGCTTGGTTGTGGCAAATGGAAAGATGTCCCTGGAGCATGTTTTGTACATGTCTCCTTTTTTTTGCCTTTACACTGTGTTTTCTTCGATTTTGAAGGAAATAATGGTTGCTCACTATTTTCTTTGTTACTATTGCATTCTGTAATATCTTGGGCAGTCAGTTCATCCTCAGTTATAATCTTTAAAGGATCATAGATGCTGATTCGATGGAGACGACCATCAATATCAACTTCCACTATTCGTTGAGCTTGGGCATAAGTTAGAGTTTCTCTTGTGGGTGAGCATTTCAAGCTATATGGTGAAGGAGACCGTCTGCCTTCTAGATTCTGTCGTGACCTCCTCCGAGGTTTCCTCATAGCAGCAACTCCAAATACCTATAGGACAATTCAGGGGAGGGAGAATAGTTTACATACCAGCATATCTAAATATGACCTACACTGATTCTTATACAATATAGGGCTTAATTTTATATCTGATTAATTAGCTGAGTTAAATTTTAATTGGTGAAGACAGAACTAAGAACACATTTTATTTGGAGGCTACATTGGTTGTAGCAAGGAAAAAAGTTAAAGAACAGTTTTAATGGGAGAGCAAAGTTTTTGTTTATTAAAATTCCAATAATATTTTGTACAATATTTTGAAGAGTGAATCTTTAAGCTCTGGAAATACTGAAACTCGCATTTATTTAAATAGAATGGATTACTCAGTTAAAAGACAGATTACTAACAAACTACAGGAATAATCTAATATACGTGGTACAGATGCATTGAATTCAAAAGGGCTTATTCTCAGATAAATGGATACAGGATTGCAATCTGAAAGTTCTTTAATTAATGGATAGCCTTTAACATTAAGACATTCTGAATATGGATCCTCAAATTCTTTTTTTCTCTCATTCTATTGAAATGTCTAAGAATATTGTACTCATATTGCAGCCTTTTATAGCATGGACAGGACAAAGATTCTATTGCCAACAGGATGAAATTCAGAAATAACCATAGTAAAAGAAAGGAAAGAAAATACAACAGAAACAAGGAAGCTAGAACATGAAGAAAAGGGCAGAATAGGAAATCTAATTAAAAGATCTAGAAAAAGACCTATTGTAAAAAAACATAAACTCACAGGAGGAGGTTAAAAGAAGCAGGAATTTAAAAAGACAGTCTTTCTTGATGAACTAGGAATATAGAATACTAAGCAGCACATGGGTTCAGCCTAGAAAGATAAATTTGAGTTGATGTGTTATCTCTTAGTGCAGTTGGGTCTATGAAGCTTCAAAGAAGCAGCAAACTAGTTCTGTGAATATCATTTTGAAAGAAAATACAGCTTCAAAATGAGACCCATATATTAATGCTCCTAAATCATAAACAAGGAACTGTTTTTAAAAAACTGAATTTGAGGCCTTTTGTAAACAAAAATTGCCTTGGATCCTGTCACACAACCTCAGCTGGGATCAATGCTTCCCCTACTGTCTCCAACACCAGCTCTATAAATGTATGGTCTCATGGGTACACATGTGTGCAGTGCTGACTCACCATCAGCGTAATTCTGTGAACATTTTTCAATTAAGAAAAATGTCCCAGAATCAGATACTAAACCAACAATAAATTAGCTGTGGCTATCAAGACAAAAAGATCACAATACAACTGAATATTTACACCTGCATGTTCAATGATGTAACTCAGAACAGCAAACAGGTACTAATTAACAAGTCTTTGATTGAATTCCTAATAGAGCACCAGTTGCATGACTTAGCACATAACAATTTAACTTGGGACTCACTAATTAGCACTCCAAGTTACATCACTGCACTTACACAAACACAAATATTCATTTGGATTCTGGCCACAGATTAAAACTGCATTCACGTAATGTGAAACATCCTTGCTTCCTACCTTTCCTGCACAGCTGCAAAAATGTGATCAAAATTTTTCATTTTCATTCCTATTAACTGCAGGATGTCTGAAACCTACACTGTAATTTAACCTAACCTGTGGTTCTTTGAAACAAGTCAATTTCATAACAGCCTTATGCCAACAAAACCTACCGTAGCTATGATTATCCATAGTGGCTATATTTGTATATAAAAATATGCCATGGTTTATTATGACAGGAACGAGCTGCCATGAAATTCAGGTTCATATTTTCTGCCCTGTCCTCCTGCACAATCAAAAGTTTTGAGATTTTTTTATTAAAGTACTAAAGTATATAAATAACTTCAGTATTAAAGTAATTGAAGTTCCCCATGTTGTCCTCTGCATTAAACTGGCTAATAACAAATGTGGTTAGTTTTAAAACGTCAACTTGAAACCAGTTTCTGCAACTGATTTATGGAACTACTCATAGTTAGTACTAACTGCAATCACCAGTTAGGTAACACAGTAAGGCATGGTGGACCATCTTCTCCTGATTATGCAGGAAGAAGAAAGAGAAGGGAGAGTAGGCATGCCAAAAGCTCACTATGGTTCACACCTGCCACGCTAATTCAACTTGTTCAGGTTAAGATGTCATAAAATTCTGCAGTTAATCTAAAACAAGCAAAATCTTCCCAACTGAAAAATGTTTAGAGATCCATAAGGGTGCAGTGGACTGGGAGGTGTATATTTTAACATAATTTGCACACAAAGTGTTATCACTTCAACACACTGTGTCTGTACAGTAAAATAATACATACCGTATTTGCCGGCGTACAAGGCGACTGGCCATATAAGACGACCCCCCCAACATTTCCACTCAAAATATAGAATGGACGGCTCTGCTGCGGCGGCAGCTGCCTGGGGCTCTGCCCGGGCCCGCCCTGGAAGTTCATGGTCAGCGGGGAGGAGGGCGAGAAAGAGGGGAAGAGGCTGCGCGGGCAGCGGCAGGAGGAGGAGGAAGAGGGGAAGCGGGCGGGTGGCGGGCAAGCGTGCATGCAACTGGCTCAGCGTACAAGACAACCCCCCTACTTGAGGTTTGGTTTTTTGGGCCAAAAAAGTCATCTTGTATGCCGGCAAATACGGTAAATGTATCATTTAAGGAAAGAGGACAGCTCCCCCTTGGACATCTATCATGAAAGCTGAATTAATTCATTGAGATTACAATTGCTTCACAGATGCATATACTGTTTTCAGTGGTCACTTGTTCTGAAATGATGTAATTTGTGAATGGGACAACTTCACAGTAAACTATTTTAAGACATCTTGTATGCCGGCAAATACGGTAAATGTATCATTTAAGGAAAGAGGACAGCTCCCCCTTGGACATCTATCATGAAAGCTGAATTAATTCATTGAGATTACAATTGCTTCACAGATGCATATACTGTTTTCAGTGGTCACTTGTTCTGAAATGATGTAATTTGTGAATGGGACAACTTCACAGTAAACTATTTTAAGAAAATCACTAGAACTCAGAAAAATCCAAAGAGTCTAACTGCCTAGCTATTAAAGTATTGATGCTGACAAATTTATATCTCCCCCAGTTCTGTGAAGGGCCCAACACCTAAAATATTATGCTAGCTTCTAAAAAATTTTTTAAAAAACAATAATAATATATAATCCACTTGTCTGAAGAGCTATAAGAATCCAGTCTTCCTCCACCTGATTAGACTTTTCAGTTGTTAAACTAGTTGTATAAAGAACCCTGATTGTTAACAATGCTACAATCCAATACAGTGGTGCCTCGCTTAGCGATCGCTCAGTTGAGCGACGAAATCGCTTAGCGATGGGGTTTTGGCCATCGCTCGAGCGATCGCTTAGTGATGGCCCCTATGGGGGAAAATCGCTTTGCAATGATCGCGGGGAAGCGATAATTGCAAAGCCCCCATTTTCGGCCAGCTGATCGGCGGTTCCAAAATGGCCGCCCGCTGTGTTGCCTCGCTTTAGAGGCACCGAAAATGGCCGCCGTAATGGAGGATCTTCGCATAAGGTTAGTTTTAAAGCCCATAGGAATGAATTAAACAAGTTTAAATGCGTTTCTATGGGCTTTTAAAAATCGCTTAGTGACGAAATCCCTTAGCGATATTTTTTCCTGCACGGATTAACATCGCTAAGCAAGGCACCACTGTATCTCCATACTTCCAAGCAGGACCTTCTTCTGAACTCAGTAAGATAGTCTTCCAGCCAAAGATGAATAAACTGACTGTTTAAATTTCTACAAAACCCACATTCTTTCTTTGTTTTAACATAACTGGACTAAAACTGCAAAATGTTCTACACAAAAAGAACCTGGAAAAACTTAGCAGCAAGTGATTTTTATAGAGGATGTGGAAGGCTCAATTTATCATTAAGAAAAAAACCCTCAATTGATTTTCCATTTGTCATTGGTAGATACATTTTTTTTCACTTTTAAGCAGGGTGGATTTGATTTAGATTTTTAAAAAACTGATTTTTTTTAAATTAAATTTTTGATTTAAATTGTGATTTGATTTTTTAAATCATTGATTTTTGTCCATCCTGCTTTTAAAGTGGAAAAATAAAGTCATATTGGACCCATTCAATCCAAGGTCTCCACCTAAGCCCCAACATTTTTGAAGCCTTTTTAACTCCTACCACTATAATAGCAATATATATGGTGTGGTGATGGTAGCAAAACTTGCCACTTTCAATCACAGAGTTGTATGCATCCACCTTGGTGGGTAGAGAGGGAGATTGTCACATATAGCAGCCCTCCAGCTGCTTAATATATTACAGTATTAGCTGAAATCCAGTATCATCAAGTTATGACATGTAAAACTGACAACATCATCAGCAACAGCCATTTTTGGGGAATTAAAAGTTTCTAATTCCTCCTCCCACCCAAAGGTTCTAAGGCTCCCTGGGAATCCCTTTCATCCCAGAAAATGATTGGGGACTGTAGGGTTGGAGGAAGTCCTTCAGGTCCCCAGATGTTCTTGGACTACAGAAAGTCTGGCCAGCACAGCTAGTGGTGAAGGCTTCTAGGAGTTTTATTCTAAGAATATCTGAGGACTCAATGCTGGGAACCACTAGTATAATGGACAGAATGTCAGTCTAGGACTGAGACAATGCTCAAATCCCAATTATGCAGCGGAAACTAACTTTTTGAACATGTCACATACCTTAAAAACAGTATGGGAACATAACTACAACAAATGAAAATATCCAGGATAGCTGTGAAGTTTGTTGGGTGATTGGGTGATAACTGGAAACAGGCTTTTTCTGCTGCTGTGCCCTTTTCTATTTTTCAGGCAAAGACATGTTTATTTACCCAAGCTCAAAAGAATAAAATATGAACTGGATACTGAACAACTTCTGTGCTGTTGTTCATGTCTGTGTATATTTTTTTTCATTGTGACTAAATCTTGGTGTTTTTAATTATATGTCACTCTTGTTTGCTATATTGGTTGAGATATTGTTGCTCAGCTTACTAAATTTCAGTA